GTACATCCAAAACTAAAATAAAAAAGATAAAAGCTTAAGGTTGAAACCTAGTGCAATCCTATTGTTATAGGAAAATAGTTCATCTCTCCACACATGAATCCTCACAATAGTCGAGACCACCTCATACGCCTTCTAAGAACTCTATCATACGCCTTCTACAAGTCAATGAAAACTAAGTGCACATCTTGTTGATCCATTTGATACCTCTATATCACACGTCGTAATAGATATATCGCTTTCAGGGTCAGCCCAATCAATTTGGGGGTTCTGTTCTAATTTAAAAAAATGGGCATAAATTTTTTTAAAAATTACAATTTTAATAATTAAAAATTAAGCACAAAAAATAAAATCATATATTAACCAAATGAAGCACAAAAAACTTAAAGTATTGTTTAAACTATAAACATCATTTCATACAACTTAAAGTATCTAACTACTTAAAAAGAATCTTCCTATGAACACTTTTTGAAGCAAAAATTCATCAACTAAGTCTTCATATTTTACTATTTCCAAAATATCATGTTCAACTGCTATAAATGCCAATCCATTAAGTCTTTCTTGTGACATGGTAGACCGCAAGTAAGTCTTTAACAACTTCAATTTTGAAATACTCATTTCTGCAAAAACAACTATCACAGAAATAGTCAATCAAATTCTATATGTAATAATTGTATTAGAAAAATATTCCAAGGCTTTAGAAAATAATAATATATCATTAGGTCTTATGATTTCTTCAGATAACATTTCTCTTAGTAAATTAAACTCTGTAAAAAAGTTCATTCTCATCATATATATCAATCATATACTGAAAGAGTATGAATGGAATATGAATTAGAAAGGTCAAACGGTTAAATCGAGGTCACAAAAAATGCATTTGATTTAATCGAGAAAAAATATTTTTAAAATAACTAAACTTAAAGGATCCTAAACTAACAAATTGCTCTACAAAAGTAGGTAACTCATTGGTTTAGAACATGATCATATGTTGATGTAAAGTGTAACACCCCATTTTCGACTAAATTAATTTAATTGATTTATTTGTAATTGTTACATGATTTGTTTAATTATTATGTGTTTTAATTAAATAAGTTGTGTGTTTATATGTGTTGTTTGGGGCGTGAAGGTATTGGTGGGGTGTAGAGGAAGAGTTGGAGGTTAATAGAAATGATTTATAATTTTTTTAATGATTAAAATAATAGTGATCATTTTATTTATTTAATTAAATAAGGAAATAGAAAATTGGGTCAAAGTAAAAAAAAAAGAGAAATACGAGGGAACAAAGAGTAAGAAAGGATTAAATGTAGGAAAGAAAATAGAAATAGTAAGAGATGGATTAATTAGGTTTATATAATTAGAGAGCCCTAATTATAATCAGTATGTAGAAACTTTGAAAAAGAGAGTAAGAGGTTAGAGACAAGAGGGAGGCTAGAAGTTGAAAGAAGAACACATTTAAACCCATTCAGATTCAGATTTCTTACTAGGAATTAATGTAAGAGGGAGATTTCTTCTTTAATGGGTGTTAAGCATGAGGGGGTAGAGTTGAGGAATCTTTAACCTCCGATAGGATTGTATGTGTTTTATATGAAATATGTATAATTGTGTTATGTTAAGGGTATATGATGATTTTAATGATCAAATTCGTGTACCAATATGTGCTAAATATTTTGTTATAAGTGTTTTTATGTTTATGTCATTGTTGATGTCTTTTAAGGTTTGAAGGGTGTTATGAAAATATAAAATTAATTTAGTGTGGATATTAATTTGATGCAATAATAGGATATATAGTTGCATACGATGTTTTGGTTCTGTTTTGAATCAAGTTTAGGTACTAGGTGGGGAAAATCAGAGTTCTCAGTTTAACTTCATGCAAAAACCCAAACTTTGCAAGTTGCAGGTCGATGGCGGGCGCCATCATCATGGAGACCAGTTTGCCATGGGTTTAGATTCGATGATGGGAGCCATCAACATGGCGGGTTACCCGTCATGCACCCAGAAGGAGGGCAATAAGCTCTGGTGCGTAGAAATGAGTCTCGGTTCCAATTTTTATGTTGTATGATGAATCGAGGTGTCGTTGGGTATTGTGTGGTGTCTATCATTAATTATTAGTAGTGCTTAATTAATTTTAATATGATTTAAATGATGAATTATGTTGTGTGGTGCAAACGGTGAATGTTACGGTGATATTTGTTATGATTAAATGTTGTGGTATGTTGATACATTTCCTATCTTGATTATGTTGTTCGTATTATTGGTGTTGTGCACGATCGGAAGAGGGGCCATGCATGCATGTTTTTAAGTGCATGTCATTGCGTCATGCATTCATGGTGTACGAACTTCAGTTTACTTTTGTTGTACTGTGGTCTTATGGTGGCGATCGGGAGTGAGTAGCTGATTCTGTTGGGAATCGATGAAGCGTTACCTATGGTGATGGTAGCGATTTTGGTGTGCTCTGGTTCTAGAGAGGGAATTGGGAGCGAGATGAACCTCAGTGTTCATATTGGCACCACATGCATGTTGAGTCAGTTGTTGAGTACAATTGTATTAGTGTTGCATTTGTGAATGATCATTTGGTGGGTGATGTGTTGTATGGATGAGAATGCTTGATGTTTGGATGTTGGTATAATTAGCATGTGTACTTGTTGTTATGTGATATTTTACCTTTACTTTTTTACACTGTTAAATTACAAAAGTGTATTCTCACCCCATATGTTTTAATGTTATCCACCATTGAAATCTTGTAAATGATAAAGAGTAAGATGCATGGTTGCTTGTTGTGTTTGGAAGAGAGCTTTGAAGAGTTATCTTCGTTTACTTTTTTCTTTTTTATTCGTTTTAGTGGTTATGCTGTGATTCTCTAACCGCTGGGTGGGGTAAACTACGTTACTCTATGTTTATGTTTTTGTTAATAGAAAGTTTGATGTTATACTCTTGACGTTTGAGCTTATGTTGGTGGTGGATATTTTTACCATATTTGTTTTTAATTCAAATAAAGTATTTTAATGAGACTTAATTATTATGAAGCATGCTTATTTGATGAATTCCGCTGTGATGATACCCTAAGTGAAGGTGAGCGTGCGATGACAGATGTATTTGAATGTTTTATCGTAATTGATAAATGTTATGGAACATGTGTTGTTTTATGATGAGTGACATCCTAAACGTGTGTATTGTGATCAATACTTGAATTATTTTATAATTTAACGCGTGGGGAATTTAAGGTGTTACATAATGGTATCAGAGCAGGTTGGTTCGTCCGGCTAGGTTTTATACTGTTATCAAGTCCCTAGTATGCGACATGTGTGTACAATGTCGATGTATTATTTCTTCTAATTTCTGTTTGATGGTGTGCACAATGGCTAAAAGAAACCTTCACGCTAATTTTTATGCTTTGGAGGCAGTGGCTTATGCATTGCGCGAACAACATAATCAGGCAAGTGATGAGTTATGTGGTTTGAGAAAACTTCAGAGGAATAATCCACTAATGTTTAAGGAAAAGTATGATCCGAAGGGTGCTCATGTTTGGCTCCAAGAGATCGAGAAAATTTTCCGAGCAATGACCTATATCGAAGAAGAAAAGGTATTATTTGGTACTCACATGTTGTCTGAGGAAGCTGAGGACTGGTGGGGTAATGCTCGCCAAAGACTAGAAGTTGTTTATGTTGAGATCACTTTGGTGGTGTTCAAGTTGCAATTCTTTGAGAAGTATTTTTCTAAAGATGTGCGTAGTAAGAAAAAAATTGAATTCCTTAAACTTAAACAAGAAAACATGTTGGTTGCTGAGTATGTCGTCAAGTTTGAGGAGCTTGTGAAGTTTTGTCCATACTACAATGGTGCAATTATGGAGGGGTCGAAGTGCATTAAGTTTGAAAGTGGATTGCGATCCGAGATTAAGTAGGGTATTTGCTACCAGGAGATTCGCAGGTTTCCTACTCTGGTGAACAACTGTAGGATTTATGATGATGACTATAGAGCTCGTTTAGCTCACTACAAGAGCGTTAGTGAGAGGAAGGAGAAGAATCTGTATAGGGGAAATCATATGGTGCTTCAGATGATAGAGGAAAGCATAGAACTACAGATGAAAAAAAGCCAAGTGGAGGGAGGGACTCCAGCTTCTATCAAGTGTGGCAAATTAGGCCATCGTACTAGTGAGTGCAAGAATAATGTTCTGAAGTGTTTTAAATGTGGGAAGACAAGTCACCGTGTGGTAGATTGTAGGAGTGATAGATCGGTTTGTTCTATATAAATATTGAACAAAGTCTATTTATGTTTTAATTTTAATTTTTTTTTAAAATTATCAAAAGTGGTGTAGTTTTGTCTAAAAAAACAAGTAATCTAGTTTTCCATAACCGTAAATTCTTCAGTTTTATCAATTTTGGCTATTCTTCAGTTTTATCAATTTTGGCTGATTTTGTCTAGTTCAATAGCTTACACGATCAGTAATCAAACCAATACCGATAACCTATCAAATTCTTAATTCAAGAGATTCGGTCTAATTTTTAAAACATTTAACCTTTAACATTCAATATAACAATATCGACTTTTATAGAGCTAAAATTTGTCAATTAACATCCCTTTAATTAACTAATAGTTAAATTAAATAAAATATACAACATTGAAGACTTAGTAGTGTTATTGTCATATTATGAAAGTCAAATAGAGTTGGATTTTGTGTGCAAGAAAAAAGACCTCACTATATATCAATACATTAAATTTTCAATCAATGAATCAATAATTGAATTGAATTTATAAACAAATAGTTTAATTTAATTGAGAATCACCACTTGATCCATCCATTATCATCCATATATCATCAGCCTATTTTATTCTCTCTTTCTCTCTCTATATTTCTTCTTCATTGCTTCATTACTTCATAGACTAATAATTTCACTCTCTCTTTCTATACATGATTATGATAGTGAAAACCTTCAACTTCAAATCAAACCTAAAACAGTAAAACCCAAATCCAAAAAACAAATAAAAATCGTATTTTTATTTTCGTGATGGAGTCGAAGGGTCTGCGATTCATGACCCATCAATCAATTTTCACCATGGTTGGATCTGGAGACCTTGATGGGTTGAAGAAGCTCTTAGAGCAACTCAAAAAGGAAGATGATGATAATAGTAATAATGGGTCATCATCATCATCGTCACCTATGTCGGTTTCTGATGTTATGTCGCTTCAAAATGATCATGGTGAAACACCACTTTACATCGCCGCTGAACATAATCTGAAGCAAGTTTTCAACTTTTTGCTTCAATTCTGTGATTTTGAGATTCTCAAGATTCGTTCCAAGTCTGATATGAACGCTTTTCATGTTGCTGCTAAGCGTGGCCATTTGGGTAATTTACATATTTTCTTTTTTTATTTATTTATTTGTGTTGGGTTTGTGTTAACTCAAATTCTAAGAACCTGTGATGATGGATTTTGCTATTATTAGATGAAATTGGTTTTGCAAATATTCACTTACCCTACGTTTCTATGAGTTGCCAGCTATGAAACGGAAACACAACATCAATACTGACATGGACACCAATGCTAGCTATAGTTTTGATTATTTGTATGTCGAACAATAGTAGAAGTTAAGGAAGTATTGTTATGTTCTAGTTAAGTACTTGTGTTGATTTGTTGATATGTATGATTAACATTTCAATCATGGTTTTAATGTTTAATTTTCTGCAGATATTGTGAAGGAGATTTTGAGTTCATGGCCTGAGGTTTGTAAGTTGTGCGACTCGTCAAACACCAGCGCTTTATATTCTGCTGCAGTTCAAGACCACTTGGATGTGGTGAACTCTATTTTGGATGTTGATGTCAGCTCCATGTTTATAGTTAGAAAAAACGGGAAAACTGCGCTACACAATGCTGTTAGGTACGGCGTCGATCGTATAGTGAAAGCACTTATTGCCCGTGATACAGGAATTGTCGGCATCAAAGATAAAAAAGGTCAAACTGCGCTTCATATGGCAGTCAAAGGACAGAGTACATCAGTGGTGGAGGAGATATTACAAGCTGATCCAACAATATTGAATGAGCGCGATAAGAAGGGTAATACAGCTCTTCACATGGCTACGAGGAAAGGCCGATCACAGGTTAAACTCAATCGCTTGAACGATATTCTCTCGATATGTATTTTTGCTGCCTTTTACTGACGAATGGTTGTTTTGACAGATAGTGAGCCTTTTGTTAAGCTATTCGGCTGTGGATGTTAATGCCATCAATAAGCAACAAGAAACAGCTTTAGATTTGGCAGATAAACTTCCATATGGATCTTCAGCTTTGGAAATCCAAGAAGCACTTTCAGAATATGGTGCTAAATATGCAAGACATGTTGGAAAGTTAGATGAAGCAATGGAACTTAAAAGAACTGTAAGTGATATAAAGCATGAGGTGCAATCACAGCTTATTCAAAACGAAAAAACTCGCCGACGAGTTTCCGGTATAGCTAAGGAATTGAAGAAACTTCATAGAGAAGCTGTTCAAAACACCATTAACTCTGTCACGGTCGTTGCTGTCCTTTTCGCCTCAATAGCATTCTTGGCCATATTCAATTTGCCAGGTCAATATATCATGACAGGACCAGAGACAGGAAAATCTAACATAGCCGATCATGTTGGATTCCAAGTTTTCTGTCTCTTGAATTCGACGTCTCTTTTCATATCTCTGGCTGTTGTTGTTGTTCAAATCACTTTGGTTGCTTGGGATACCAGGGCTCAAAGGCAAATCGTGTCGGTCGTTAACAAGTTAATGTGGGCTGCGTGTGCTTGCACGTGTGGCGCGTTCTTGGCTATAGCTTTTGAGGTTGTTGGAAAGAAAAAATGGATGGCCATCACCATAACTGCTGTAGGGACACCTATTCTAGTTGGGACTCTAGCAAGCATGTGCTACTTTGTTTTCCGACAACATTTTGGAATTTTTCAGAGCGATTCCCAGAGACGAATCAAGCGAGCAAGTGGAAGCAAATCTTTCTCCTGGTCTTACTCTGCAAATATATCGGATTTGGACGAATACAATTCAGACATCGAGAAGATCTATGCTCTGTAAGCTAGAGATCACGATTGTGTCTGTCTTACCACACACGATATATTCTGCAAATATATCGGATTTGGACAAATACAATTCAGACATTGAGAAGATCTATGCTCTGTAAATTAGTGATCACAATCGTGTCTGTCTTACCACACACGATATACCGCTCGATATGTATAGTATAGTTCAAATAAGTTTTGGTCTACAAAGTACAGCTTCTAACAGTTATCAGAGAATGACCAAGATATCAATGATTGTAATTTTATAATATATCAATGGTTGTTAAAAACTCGTTTGGAGTACTAACTAACTAACCAAGAATCTAATTTCTATATAATATAACAAGAACAACAAGTACTAAACAGTATTATTATTATTATTATAGAACTTTTTTTCTTCTAAATTGAAGTATTCCCCTTTGTTCCACACATGGTTTTCAACAAAAACAACAGAACCATGTGAGTATCTATAAAGTTGACAAGGTCTAAAAAATAGCCCGGCCGAGCCCGGCAAAGCCCAAGCTTTATCTTAATGCCAAAACCCATCTTTCTTCTATGATGATGATGATGATAAGTAGTAGCAGTAAAATAAAACAAGAAGCTATTATGATTTACAATTTTTTACTATTACCCTATCCCATTCAAAGTTCAAATGCAAATACCACTGGGATTGGATCAGTGCATAATAAAGACTGATTCAATAGCTTTTTATCTCTTGGATGATCTTGCTACAACATTAAGCTCACTCAAATGAGGTCTCTTTGTTTCTTCTTCTTGTCTTGGTACCTCCTCCTCCTGCATATAGAAACATGGCTTGTTAAGTTATAAACTATGAAGCTGGTTTCAGAAACTATCTTGAAGAGCTTACGAAAATAAACTTAAAACTGCATATGCACATGTATCATAAGCATTTATGTTACTAGATAAGTTGACATATGTCAATACAAACAGATCTTATATTTTATGCGGAATGAGGATGTCGGTAGTTACCTTTGATACAGGTGTGACCTTTCTGCGTATCTGTGCTTGTGTTCTAAAATGCTCGCGATGCTGTTGCTGCATTTCCTGAAACTGTTTTATCCTTGCAGCAAAATTTATTGCATTGTGTGAGTTCCCGTTCTCAACGGCTACGTCACCATCCTCTGTGATGTGAGATCCACCAGACATGTGATGGAGAAACTGATAGGGGGCCCCCGAGGATGTTTTCTTCAATTGCTCACGATTGAAAGAATACGCTGGCACAGCTTTTAAGCGAGTTTTCAGTATCTCGAATGCAGCGCTTTGCTGCATAATTCATATAAAACAAATTGTCAATACAAACAACTCATCTAGATTCTTGATTTTTGAGTGTTGATATATTATTCAAAAAAGAATTTGAAGCATCAATATTGTAGAAATACGAAACACGATATAATGTTTTAAGTAACAAAAAATATAATCAAGTTTCGCGTACCTGAGGAAACAACATCAGAAGACCATACAGAGCTCTAAATAACCATGTATATTTTCCAGGTTCCAGAAGCTACAAAATTAAACATCCATTTAGGTACACAAGACAATGAAATGAAACGCAGATCCCAGAAAATTATTCATGAACAGAATATGCAGATAGAACATGAACGAAAGCATTTTTGCCGCTAGGTGGAATCGGCTACTGTTAATAAAGTTCATAAGGTGTCATATTACTATAATCAATCACCTGCAGTCGAAGATAAGCAAAGACCGGAGTTTCCAGCAAACGAATCAATTTATCCAGCTGTACTAAGAATTTGACATTAATATCCTCCTCTACCAGAGATTGAATCACAGTACTCACATGTTGGTAAGTCTGTCAAAGAAGATAATCCAAATAAAGTTAAGCACTTATACACAAATACACATTGTTCAAAAAGCACATGTGCGAGTTTGTCAGTTCAAGCACATTTGAAAGACGGCTTTAAATTCAAACTAAGTTATAGATTTCAAAACCAAGTTATAGATGCATACCTGAGCTAAGAAGCAAAGACTTATAATTGCCATTGGAGAATGACACCATGAGGCATACAAAGAAACATATAAATCCCTCCCGGCAGGATTAACCAGTGTTTGCTTCAAAAGAACTCTAATCTCAGATAGTTCGGCTGATGTAAGTAAGATCAAATTCAAGGCCTGTAAAATTTTTATGGAAAAGGGAAAATATCAAATTTAGATGAACAACACTTTGCTACATTATTAGATTGACTAAAGGTCAGGCTCATTAAAAAGAAAGTGTGTCTAAAGACTGCAAACATTTTGGAGATAGTAAGTCAAAACTTTTGACCGAGGCATCATCTAGTTTAGTTATACACAACTTTATAAAAATTGGCCTAGTCATCGACTCCGCAAGGTCAAGGACTGACTCATCGAACCACTAGTTCACTGGTTGAACTACGTGATTGAACCGGATTAAATCGAATGACTCGGCTGTATGACCCGGTCTATATACAAAAAATTGCATAGGTATTAAATTGAATTGCACCGAATGACTCAATCAATGTAAAATTAAATAAAAAGTCGTGACAATTACAAAATGTAAAAAATTATACCTAAACAAACTAATACCATATTTAAATAAATATTGTCAAAATCTCTATCTAAATCTTAAATTTTAAGATCTCATTCAACTCCAACGATCCAGATCTTATGTGGAAGAAGTTGTAGCTAAATTGGGGGGGGGGGGGGGGGGGGGGGGGGGGGGGGGGGAAGTAAAATCATTGATTATCAGGGATCTTGGCCAGTTCCGGCCATGATCGGCCGTTTTCCAGCTGCCACCAAGATGCAGAAGCGCAACAATTACGGTACGGGCCTTTTGAAATGATGAAGTTTATGATTTAGGGTTTAGACTTTAGAGACTAAACATATCAGTTGTAGGGTTTGTTTTAAATTCGACTTATGATAAACCAAATAATGGACCAAATATGTCCATAATGTCTAACAAATTCCTGAGAAAAATGGTAATAAAGTATAAAAACTCAACCAAACATGTTTAAAAAATATCATAAAAGGTTGTTTTTCCACAAATACCCTTGACTAGCAAAATATCATGTAAATATACTTCAAATATATAGTATTATTTTTCATTTTAATATTATCTTACGATTTTTGTTACGATCTTGACAACCTTGCAAATAAGTGTATTAAAAATATAAATATAACAAATTAGAAGCATTAACTCGCAATAGATTATAAGTTAAAAGCATATATAGCATTCCTTATAAAAAAGAAAAAGCATAGGTAGCAGCATTAAGAGAAATTTTTGCATTGGATTTTTTAATATAATAATTAAAAACACAATAAACATCACAATCAATAATGTGGTGTGGTGGTGCTATGTTATTAGTTATTACGATTCGCAGTCGCTGTACGCGCGTTCGACTCCTGCTTCGCAACTCCTATTTTTTTTTAAATATCTAAAGCAGCCAATGCTAAACAAAAACCATTTGCAAATATCGGCGGGTCACCGGCTTAACAGCATAGCCGATCTGGTAGTCCACTTAACTCAGTTACACACATGTCATTAACTTTTCAGCAGTTCCTTAATTAACAAAGAAAAAACAGGATATACCTGAACCATAATTGATGCAAAACCCAAATCAGATTCTCCTTCTAGAATCGTAGAAAATTCACGGTAGACTCTCTCAGCATCCAAAAGCACACAAAGCCGACGGATAATCAAAGCACCACGCCTAGAATATCAGAGTTAAAATAAAAAAAAAAAATGCAAATTACTAATTTAAAACATATTTTAGCAAAACCATATGAAACAAAGAATATCTTGGACCTAGGAAAAAATAGCTTACTTCTCCAAAAGTGAATTGTCTTTCCGGAAATTGTGCATCAGGAAAACAACAAGCTGACGAAAGTGCTGAGGATCTTTTGCAATGCATGCATGAACATCAAGAACCAGAAGAACAACCTATTACAGACAATTCAGGTGACTTTTTATTAGTGAACAATATTGCAAATAAGAAAAGAAGAAACTTTAAAATTTCATTTATTCATGCTGCAGTTAAGAGTCAAAAGGCATATATAAGATATCTACATCGAAAACTTCTAAGAAATCTAAAACTATACTCCACTTTTTTGAGAGAAAAAAAAGGAAATTTAACTGTCATACCAATGTCCCATCCTTGTTTCTCCATTATATGCTTTTTCTATTGAGGAGCTTAATAAGCCCCTCACTATCAGAAACATAAAACTTATTTAAACTAAAAGATAACCATACAATTAAAAGCGTGATTGCACAAAGATTTTAAAAATGAATGATTTGATGAAACAAATCTATTAAAAAATGGTTTCAGGATACAAGATACCTCATCAGATGGATCTGAAAGTGCCTTGAGTAGGGTGTCGAATATGTCATTCAAATATTGCAAAACCTGTTCGAGACATGAAAAATCACATATGCACATGGACCTCAAAAATTGCCAAAACAAAACATGGATTAGAAAAATGTAGTCACCTCAGGGCGATAGTTATTTAAAAGGGTTGATATCCAGTGCAAAGCTTCAATTCGAGTAGCCTCCCATTCACTAGATAATTGCCTGATCAGCCAAACCAACCCGAAATCATTTGACAGAATAAACAGTACAAAATAGCTTGGAGACAAAAAAAGATCTTCATAATAATTTCCATATAGCTTCTAAGATGGTCGAGCCAATTTACAAATTACAAATCCATAACATTTCAATTGCAAGCATCACAACTAAAACCTAGTCTTTTTCACAGGATATAAAAACTATACCTCCTTGCAATGGAGAGGACTTCTCCTACATCAAATCCTTCAGCTGGATCAGCCTTGATGGTACGTAGCTCTTCGTTGGTTTCACAAGCAACCTTACACATATGCCATAGATAAATTCAAATTTCTATTTTACATAAAAGGAAGAAAAATAGCAAGGGCAAAAAGGGAGGCTCAAGTGAACCTACAACTCTAATCTTCTCTTCTTTATCTGATATACACGGCAAAATGGCTCCAAGAATGTCTGCATAATACGG